TTCCTCTTTCATATAATCTAACAATCCTCTGAAGATGTTATAATTGTACCTTAAGCATCTACATTATCTGAGTGGAAAAACCCTGTAAAAAATGGAGGAGGGTGGAAACATTTTATTTTAAAACCATGTTCCACAAAGCTCAGTTAATTTATGTCCCTGAAGATTTCTTCTTTCTCACCTTCATATATGGGCATCTTGGTCTATTTATCCCTTCTGAAATAACACAGTGGGTTTCCATTTTGGTAGCTTGCAAACACTTTAGACTCTTTGTTTATGCTTGAACACCATTAGGAGGAAAGAAAGCCTTACTCTGTCTGATGCATTACTCTGACTAACATCTGGAACGTGAATGCTGCACGTTTTGCCAGTCTCATTTGGTATAATCCTAGGTGTAAATGTGCTTAGATGTACGCCTTTATATTTCCTTTCATGGAAACACCAGCTTATCTTTGTTTCAGCTGAAGAACTAGGCACGATTCAACCCAAACATCTGTGAAGAACTGGTCACATAAAAGGCACACAACAGTCATTCAGTACGGTTGTATTACTAATCAACTGGTTTCCAACTAAGGATTTTCTGTTTATCATAAGGAAAACAAATATTTGCTCTATGTCCTAGTTTCTAGGCTACCATAAGTGGCTAAAATTGTGTGTTCTGTAGAGGCTGGTCACAGGGTGGCAGTGATCACAAGATGACAGCCATTAAACTGATGTATGGAGTGGCCAGAGGTGACTGGAGCTGATCCTAGCAAATGGTACTAGGAGGAAAGGAAGTGCAGTGCACAGCATTAAGTTTTATTAGCTTTACAAGTCCCAGGATCTATGTCACATGGAAGAAGGAGTGGGCAAGCCAGGTGGAGTATCAAGGCATTGTCCAAGCCTGCAGGGAAGCAATTAAGAAGCCCAAAGCTCAGCTGCAGTTGAAACTAGTAAGTGATTTGAAAGACGAGAAGGAAAGCTTGTACAGCACATCATCAGAAAAAGTAAAGCAAAGGAAAACAGGAGCATGCTGTGGGGCTGAGGCCCTAGTGACAGCAAAAAAAAAAATTAAAAAAAATGATACTCAGTGCTTTCTCTGCCTCAGCTTTTACTAATAAAATGTGCACATACACAGCTTCTTAAGCCTTGTGTAAGACCTCAGCACTGAGGCATGGCATGAAATAGAGAAAGGTAGTGACCACTTTAACAAATTAGATGGGATGGGATACAGCAGGTGCCAATGGTGCCGTGGGAACTGGCCAATGTCATTTCAAGGTCACTCTACTGTCTTCAGAAGGTTATGGCACTCAGAGAAAGCTCCTGATGTCTGGAATAAGGCCAACACTGTATGTCTGTTTCACAAGGGCAATGAAGAGACTCTAAGGAACAAGAGAATAGGCATCCCAACCTTGTGTAACACAACAGGTTTTAGGAAAGTAGTGGGAGCAAAGTCTCCTGGGAGGTATATCCAAACACACAGAGGACCACAAAGTAAGTGGGAAGAGCCTACATGGATTCAGCAGGGGCAGCTCATGCCTGACCAACACCAGAAGGACTAATTTTCCTGTATGCAGTGTTGTGCAGATGTGGTCATACAGCTGTGTACTGAGGGCTGAAGCAGTTGACACCATTTCAGGTAAATGGACAGTGCTGCAGGGTACAGTGCCTATAAAACAGTGAGTGCCTTAGACTTCCTTGATTTGTAGTGAACTGGAACTGTGAAGGACAGTGATTCTGATCCGTGCCTATGGCTACTTGTCTGGCAAACCCTATAAAACACGGTTTAGAAAATTTTTCAAAATGTGGCTGGTACTTGGTTGTGCTTAGTTTAGCTTATGCTTTGTTTCAATAGGAGTTGTAAATCTTTTCTGCATCTTTTGCAAATTTATTCCAGTTTTTTAATGTGGTATGTCCAAACAAAGCATCAACATCTAAGTACTTCACATGTCCCTCTATACTCAATATGGTTTCCAGTTTTGATCCTGTACATTTTCAAATGTGTGCAATAGGGTTCATATCCACACCTGGATTAATTGTTCTGCAATGAAGTTGAAGGGGCTAACCCCAGCCTTGACGTCTGGTAGTGGCACCCAAAAAAAGAAGACAGAATTCTGCACTTTTAACCAAAACAAAAGGGAAAGGCTAGGCTGGCTGTTTCTTCCCCTGCAAAGCCTTCCTTTGTAGGTCTCTTCAGCCTGGTTGTCTCCAGCTGGTTCATACACCTTAGCAGGTACTGCCAGCTCCTCCTTTACAGCCTATTGGTGTACCTGTGCCCCTACAGTCCAGGTCTTATGATTAAATGCTCTGGGAAGATGTACAGCTGGAGAGCTGCTGGAAATCCTGGAAACTCATGGCTGTTTTCCTCTAGCCTTTGGAAATCTTTTCTTTACTTAGTGAAAGTTAATTACTTTGGCATTTTCAGATTTTTATTCAATGTTTTGTAACTCTTCTTTTCTTATCAACAGTCACTTTCCAAATCTGTTATTACAAATTTGCAGACACTAGTTAATGCAAAATGCAGTTAGAAAAATCTTCAGACAGCTCTTAAACAATTCCCAACTTATGAAATGGATTAACTCTATTACACAGTATGAAATCTAACATCTTTCTGGTTCTCCAAATGATGAAACAAGACTGTTATATTTAGTATATTCATATGGCTGTGCCTGAAATATTTCTGTAGAAATTAGGCAATGATTTGCAATAATATCAATACTGTAAATGCAGTGATACATTATAATCTTCCGTTTCTAGATCTTCGTCCCTGACCAGCATGCCACAGCAAATTACAATCGATACAAAGCTAAACTTAGCACTGTTGTGTCTGCCAAGTAGATGGCCAGATGCAGGGGTAGACCTTTCCAATTTAGGGGCTCTCCATTCTAGAGATACAACTCTGTGTGTGTTCATCCTCTGCGTTCCTGCAGGAGCAGCTCAAAACAGATCTGTCAGCTGACTCAGCCCTGCTCTTCCTTGATGCCAAGGAGAGTCACTAATTTCAAAGGGGACATGCTTGAAGCTTAAAATATGAGTGGGGGAAGAAATTCAAGGTTGAATTTTCTGAGAAACAGCAAAGAAAATTCCATTCTCAAAACACAAAGTCATTAGGTATAAAACCACAAATTCCCAAGGGGATGAAAAATAGGAGGGATCAGGCCCTCTCTAAAGAAATTCCTGTATCAGAATCCAATATAACTAATTTTGCTAGTGTCAAGATCTCAGAGATGTATATTTCAGGGTGACTTAGAAAAAACTGTCAGTTCATGACCCAGATTAATAAAACCCATTGAAATTTGCTGTTTTCTAATGGCTGTGCCCTAGAGGCCTTGTCTATACACTTAACTAGCAAGTCAGTATAATTTTTGAAGCCAATAAAGTCTATAATGACTTATACTAGTGAAAGATTAAGGTTATGATCATTAGTACCTAAAAGCCATTTGTTTGAAAAATGCCAAAAAAAGATTTAATATTTCGAGTGACTGAAGAGGTTTTTCCATTCTTATGCAAGAAACTTTAGAATAGGGAGAGAGTAACTGAAACCTTCCTTGCTATATCCCTTATATGAGATCACAGTGTCTTCGTCTATCAGAGGTGTCACTGCTACTCCACCAAAGAAATTCAGGATTCATTCACCTTCAAAAGCAAGCCTTATCCAGCAGGATGCTGACACTACACAAAATGATAGTGTCTTCTACTAACTGAGTCACTATACAGTAGAAACCAATACAATGACTATAAAAAGGGGTCTTTGTGTACTGAGCAGAGCTAGCAAAGGTAAGAGAATGACAGCACCATTCATAAATATCTAAAGTCACTGGAGAGTTTTATCAGTGAAATCAGTTAACAAATGACATAGTACATAACTCCTGTAAATGTAAAGCATGCAGTTCCTTCTCCAAGTCAGGCTCATAAAACATGGAACTGCTGAGTAATATTTCCCCACTGGTTAAAGGACAATGGCATGGAGCTCTGCTATCCTGAGAAGCAAAATAAGAATACATGTGTGAGTAGAAAAGGAACAAAGCAGCTCTCCTGTGTGGTGATGCATGCCCTAAGGCTATTGACACTACCAGAGGAACACTGAGCACCTGAGCTTCTACAGGAAGGACAGAGAGGAAAGTTTTTTTTTTTTGTTTTTTTTTTTTTTTTAATTATGTAGGAAAAAAAAAGGAGTTGGGACTTATCTTTCTCTGTCCTAACTTCACAGGTCCATTTATATGCAATGAGAGGAAAGAATGAGGACAAAATGCCTAAATTCATTTAGCAGTATGTTGAACCATTTTTTATAACTAGAGGTAATTTTACACAGTCCCATGCAATGGCAGCAAACCACTAGAGTAGAATCATGATTTCTTTGTTGGAAAGTGCTGGTTGCCTCCCCATTAACAGATTCAGCACCTTGCAATGTTCGGGTCCTGTGTTAACACGAATTGTGAATGAAAATATTGACTTAGCTCCAAAATGTTTTCAGTTGCATTGGAGAAGGATGTCTTACAGCTGCCAGAAGAAATCCTGTGAGAGCCAGGAAGCAGTTTTGATAAATTAGCAAAGTCAGTTTTTAGCATTTCTGTTTTAACTTGAAAAAGGTTTGCTGCCATATGCATTTGTACTTTGGCAATGCTTGCTGACAGAACAGAGGCTGTCTTGGCATATTACTTGTCAGAGCAAAATAGATTTGGCTGTCATTTCCATAATAAGTATAATTCATATTGCAGCGTCTAAAAAACATATGGAAAGGGGGAATGTCAATATGAGATGAATTTACCTTAAAAGAGCTTGTAGGGGACTCACAATTAAACAGGTACAAGGCCAGATGAAGTTATAATATGAAAAATTCTGCTTCCCATCATAATTATATTTCTTTTGTGTTCAATTAATGAGTGGGTTAGCTGAGTATGGGCCCAGTTTACCCTAGGGCCCAGTTTACCTATCCTTGCAAAGCTCATACCCATGTCATGCAATTCACCTCAGCAACTCACATCAAAGACAGAGCTATAAAAATGAATAGCAGAGCCTTCTGTGCAGACAAGACATGACATTTATTTATTCCTAGCATGTGCATGCAGTATTTTGCCAGTGTTTCAGCCAGTCTGTCCAGTAGCTATTGTTAGGAAAACACCAAAACCAACTTTATACAACCTGCTTTTGACTAGAGGTGGGAAGGTGATTCTTCATACTATGCAACTCAAGTTTCTTTTTCTCCCACATAAAATTGAGAAAGAATAAAGTGAACAATGTATAAAAGAGTTCTTACCTGCCTACAAAGTACCATGTAGACAAACTTTTGATATAAGAAAGTATATGGTCCCTTTGTATATTTTAAAGGGGCTTACAGATCTAAATATTTTTTATATTTGTGTCAACAACTGGTGTTAATTGTTACACTGATACAAATAATTGCACTGATACAAAAAGCCCAAAACCATAATCCCACAGCTGGCAGCAACATGGAGCAAGTTTTCAGTGACGCAGAACTTATTGCCAAATGCTCTTGCAAATAGTTGAGAGCCATGTTTTTCTGCCACTATAAACAAAATAGGGTACAAATGAGAACCATAGAGATACAAATTTACAATTTCTTCATTGTCTTTTGCTGCTTCTGCTCTTTAATCTAACTGGTTTTGCAATGTACAAGGATTTATAATACAAAGAAATGGGGACAGATGACATTCCATAGCGCTGATGTCTGGTATGCTAAGATTATGTATTTCAATAAAACGGAATAGCTGGTTTTGAAAAGGCACAGGTAGATAAATAAAATGTGATCCCTATATCCCAGCCTCCAAATGTTAGAAATGTTATTCAGCTTTTACACAGAGGCTAGAAATCAAACAAGTTGGATTTGTGCTATAACTGTGCTATAAATTCTTTCATTTTTAAGTTTATACATAGACCATGATAAGTACAAGGGACAGTTGAAGGAAAAAAATAAATCACATTTCAAAAGTGTGTGAATTAGAAAACTTGGGTCCACCTTCAGAAGTGAATGAATCTCACCTACCTGCTGTGCAAGCTAATTGTGTCTTTAAGAGTTTCCGTGATACCGTTTCCATTGCTGAAGATACAGAGGAGTACTTGGAAGAATTTTTAAAATGCCTTGGTATGAAAATCCCTTAACATTGTCAGCATGTTAATCCCTTTAAAGATCTGCCCAAGTCACTTCAGAAGGTACAACAAACACCCAAATTATGTGGGTTTTTTCCATAACAGGTTTTGTAACCTTTAGTTTTCAGCTGTTACTTCGAAGCTCCCTGTAAAACATAAAGGAATAAATATTACACCAGCCTGCTCAGTTCCATCAAGCTGTCCAAGCCATAGTTTATGTCAAGGAAAAAGAAAAAAGTAAAATCTGAGGTTTAGCTGCCTGAGTACTTTGGTATATGATTCTAGAATGATGGAAGTTGATGATCTCCACTTCAATCCTCAGATATAGGTGCTTTCTTTGGATTAAATATCTAATTCCTCTCAGAGCAACCATTTCACAATTCCACTACTAGTGCATAGAGGCAACCTCATGTTCCCTCACTTTCTTTCTCCCTCTCAATTACCACACTGTAGCTGAATGAAAGAATAATTAGGACCCTTATAAACAGAAATGAAGAATGCCAAGGTAGTCTAACAAGGCAGAGATGAAAAACATGAAAAGCTTTTCAAGAGAGCACCATATTAGAAAAAGCAATTTTGTGAAACTCAAATTTTCATTCTAAAATGGAACTTAGATACTGTTCAAGTTGTTGATGCTTTTATGCAGTAGAAACCTTAAGTTTTGATCAGGCTATTAAAAACTCATTTTTAAAGTCTCTCCTCTGAAAGAACTCTTGTATTTTACAAAAGCATCATGTAGAAGGTGAATAAGAACCACACATTGATTAAAAAAAGCCACATTCATCCTGCAACACCTTAATGGTGTTTGAAGGCTTCCGTGCAAGCTCTAAAACAGTATAATCCTCATTAATACGTAAAAACTTTTCTTCCCAGAGATATATTATTTTATGTCAGGAAAAAAAAATTAAATTCTACCAAATAAGAAAAACAGGCATCTAAAAATAGGTATCTAAAAAAAAACCAATCTGAAAACTTTCTTTAAAAAAAAGAACTGGGGAACTAAAAGTATTGAGGATAATGCTTTGCAGTGTGTGAGAGCAAATTAGCTTCCACTTTGCATAAATATACAACACATAAGTTTTATACTTAATTTTGCAACATTCAGCAAAGGGAATACTTATTCTAGTTTTGATGTTCTATAGAATAACAATGGCAAGAAGAATAACAAAAACTATCTGAAGGTTGTGCAAGTGGATATCCACTTCATAAATGCCACAAATATTAAAAACAGAAGTGCTTGCAGAACTTTCACACAGCCCTGAATTAAAAGCCGCTGCAATGAAAATTGATGCTCTTCTGGTTTTGTTTATCTACATTGTAAAGCAATGTTAACCAGCTGAGTGTACACACTCCTTACTGAGTGGAAAAAGAGTATTAATTTGAGCTAGTGATACTACCTGTAGGAAGCTTGAAATTCACTGCTATAAAAATTTCAGCTTCAAAAGCATGTAAGTCTCATGCCTGTATGTGAAATTAGCATAAATATATAATTTTAGTAATTTAAAAACCTTAGTCTCCTTTGATGAATGCAAAATAAATGAGTATGATTATCACAATGATGGGTGTGAGAAAAAGCAGTCTTCATAGTCAATATATCTGAGAAAACATTATCTCCTCTACAAGATATCATTATTCTATATCTAATGACTCTCAGTCTTAGGACTTGTTCAAAATCTGGAAAAGCCAGTTATCTACAACAACTTGTCCAGTCCCCAGTGACCAGAAAGGGACTAAGGTGCAAAGTCAGCTCTTCATCATTTGCTATACCTCAAATACTTCAAAGTGTTTGGCAGATATCTGTCTTCTCCCGTGCCAAAATTCCCTGCTTCCAACACCAGGCCATTTTGCTCTTTTCCTCCCCTCCTTTTTAGTGCAAGAAGGAAGAATAAACCCAGAAGAAATGAGTTATCTGCAGACCAGTTCTTGTTAGACCTTTGCATTGCAAATTAATTGTTTTGGTGCAGCCATGCACTGTTAAATAGAACAGGACAGCAGCCTGAGGTCAATCTTCAAATTGAGGTCAATCACACTCCTGTGGGGCAACCTGAGGTCAGTCTCAAAAGTGACTTTAAAATATCCACACTGGCTTACTCATGGTACAAGAAAAATTCTTTTTTTGCCTCCCAGCCATCCAGTTTATTTTCCTTAAAAAAAACCAGATTTTTTATATTTCTTGGAATCAGTAATATTGTTTCACTGTCAGGACCAACATTAATGCTGAGAAAATAACTTAGATTAGACAAAAGTCAATTACAGAAGAGTAAGTTTTAATATTGTCAGTCACTGCAGCCTTCTGGGGTTTTTCCTTAGTAAATTAAAAGGCTTTTCTTTTCCTCTAGAACCATCTTATCACTCATTTCACTATCAGAAAAACACTCTGAAGATAATAGCTAGAGATTCTTTTAAAGGAGAATATATCTAGTTTAATTTCATCTCCATTTTAAGAGGGAGGATTGTTCTATATTATTAGTTATTTGGGTTCATGTCTTTCCATGCATACACAAATAATAACAGCAACATTTATACAAGGTGAATGGCCTGAGAACTGTGATTTCACTTACTATGCTCCACTAAGACTGTCCCAAAATAAGGACTGTTCTTTACAGCTGTGCCTCTTACATTGCTTGTGTTTTGTATGATGTTTGCTTGTAAACTGGCAATTCACTCCTGCCCTGTCTCATAACTCTTTATTCCCAGGCTCTACTTTCTTCAGGATTTGGCAATGTTCATCATTTTGATTATGTCACCCATTTGCTCAGCAAGTAATTTACTATCTTCCTTTAAGGATCAGGATACTATTTCAGGGGTAACTTCTAACATTTAAGGCACTTAAGGTGCCAGGTCCAATTTACTTACTGCTAATGATTGATGTCTACTTTCTCTCTTGACTCAAGTCTGAATGCCTCTGTGTTTGTTCCTACTTGCCTTGCGTGCAGTGTGGATGTGAGATTTTCTCAAATGCAGTAGTACCCCTAAACAGATCCCCAACTTTCATTGTATTTCATTCAAATGGAGAAATAAAATGCTTTCATCAGCTCTATAATCTCTGAATGTGTGGGTTTCATTTCTCAGCTTCAGTTCATTTTCAAAATATAACCAGGCATTGATTTTGCAAGTCTGTTTTGTAACAGTCCCAAGATGCTGTAATGAGACTTTTTCTATCCTATAATCAGAAGAGAGGATATGACCTAATTCACCTTCTTTTCTTTATAATACCTGACCACATACCTGTTGCCTTCTTCACAGCAAGATAAAGCACCAGAGCAGTGGTGCAGCTGTGGAGCAGGGTCCTGCCAGCCTGGTTCACTGCTTCCAGCTGAGGGTGCTGGGGGTAGAGGAACCCCAGGTAAGGTGTCATGCAGGGTGAGCACAGCCTGTCTCTCCCACAGAACTCACTCACCTCTGGAATCCTCAACAAGGGTCAATCCTACACCTCATGTAGCTTTTCTCTCACCCACAGCACAAATCTCTTCCAAGTGCTTCCCCAATCTTCTCTTGAGGCTACTGCGGCACACAGCATTGCTCAGCGAGGAGATTTACAGGTCTGTTACCTACAAGTGAAAAGACATCATGGCCCCTTGATCCCTCTACAAGAAGAGAAAGTGAGCAGTCAATTCCCGGTTGTACTTTTCCTACAACATTCACAAACTTCTAAGGTGCCTCTTTCCCTACATGTAGGTCCTCTCTTTTCCAGTAAGAAGACCTGTTTCACCTTTTCTGGTTTAGACACTGCCACAGAATACTTGTCACTCATAATTCCCTTCTCCTGATTTTTCTCTGTCTTACCAAACACTTCTGGAACAAGAGGAAAAGAATGGTACAGAATATTCAGGGTACAGTTGGACCATAGCCACAGAACTGTAGTGTTGTTTTTCTGTTTGCTTTTCAATCATTCTCTAACTTCCCCTTAAAATCCATCCTTTTTCTCCTTTTTGCTGAGCAGTGAGCTGACGTTTTTCTGGAGTTCTCTGCGACAAGACTCAAGGTCTCATTCTTTAGCAGTAATAGGCATGTCAGAGGACATAATTTAGTATGCAAATTTAGGATTATTATTTTCTATCTGCATCACTTTATCTATATAAAGTTTTTACTTCCATCTTGCTTTCTAGTCTCATAAGGCAATTTTTTAGAGTCAGCCTGGACACTGACTCCCCCAGCTCAGCTATTTTCGTCACCGCTGTGCTTGTTGTGCCAGATCACTTACACATGTTGCATAGCACAGTTCTTAGAGGAGCCCTTGTTTCATTCCTGAAAACCAAAGATTTAGTCCTACCTTCTGTTTATGTTTCTGTGATTAGTATCCATTAAAGATAGGACCTTGTCTCTTAAACCATGGCAATTTCATTCGTTAAAATCCTATGGTCAGGGATTTTGTCCAAAAATTCAGGGTCATCCTTAATGATTTGCTCATTGTCCTCTCAAGAGCCTTGTATTGTGTTTAAAGGCCAGGACTAGCCTTTACAGAAAGTATGTTTTGTCTTTCCAGTAAGACACATTTATCCTGATTTCCACTAATTCCATCTTTTATCATGTCTTCTGCTAATTTATGAAGTGCAAGCATCAGGCTCACAGGGTTGGAGATCTTCCCTAGAAACCTCCCTAAAATTTTGTGCCACATTTACCACTCTCCCCTTCTCAAAAATGAGTGAAATCTTAGGGTAAAGTTTACACACCACCATCAATAATTCAACTATTTCATCCTTTAATTCTCTAAAGGCTCTTAGGGGAGTATCGTACAGTCTCAGTGATTTCTTAGTGTTTATTCTACCTCTTTATTGAATTACTTCTTCCACAGTATCTTCTGTTTCAGGCAATCTCTTGCCGAGTCCTCTCAAAGGGTTTGGGGCTCCCCTCAGTCTTCCTACAGTGAGCATCAGAGCAAAACACTTATTTACCATCTCTACCACAGCCTTGTCCTTGCTGAGCTCTCCTCAAATAATCCCATCGCCAGCTGACCTGCAGAGCTGGCAGTGTTTCCTTCTGCTCTGCTGGGAGAAGAATTTAGACCTGCCTTGATGTAGAGTGAAGCATATTGCCCATAGGGCCTATGCATATTTGCTGTAAAATGTGGTTACTTGGCCAAGGATTTCAGGAAGAGAAAGGTGGTCTCCAGTTAAGACAATGGAACAATGGTCTGGAAAGCTGGATTTATGTCACTGTCACATGAACTGAGCAAGTGATTTATCCAAGTCCTCTGCTTGCGTTGTTTGTGCACTCCTGATTTCTCGAGTGACTGATTCGATAACTCTTGTACACAAGCAGTGCAGTGCAATTTAGAATGTATAAAGTAGCACACCAAAAATTCAGAACTCATAACCTCAAATCTTAGAGGACTGGGGGGATTATTTTCAACTCTCTGTGTCTCAGTTCAGCACTTGTAAAATGGAATAATGCTACTCCTCACCTCAGAGGGGTTTTGTGCATATAAATTCATTAAAGTTTGTAAAATGTTCAGGTACTATAGCAACAGGCACCATAGAAAACCTGGAAGGGACATAGTAATTATCTTCATAGCAAGGTTTGCATACTGTGCAGTAAATAAGGCATGGGGGACATATTGAGCAATAGGAAGAGAACTAAAATTGAATATTTGCTTTTCAGTTAAGCTCCTTCTGTCCTATGCACAGACTGAAGCACAAATAGTTTAGAACAAAATTCAAATGTGACTGTGTAATTAGACAATGTCATAATGTTCACACCCACTGGGGCACATTTAGGGCCATACAAGGCAATTCTTAGGGTTTGGCAAAGACACCAGCCATTAAAAATAGGGTTTTACATTAGACAAAAGGTCAGGAAACTGTAATGAAAGGCAGTCCAATTCTCTTCTGCTACTCCACTGAATTGCAATTTGGAGGGGTAATAAATATTGCATACAATTTTCAAAAGTACTTTAGAGATTTGAGAGCCTAAACTCTACGAGTGTCATCATAAACCTAAGCTGCTATTACTCCTGCTAGAGGAAGCTCTGCTCGTTCCAGAAATGGATGCATTAGGATGATATGTCAGCATGGCTCTCCATGCAGAGAGAAACACCACAAGAGGAAGCACACCATAAATTTTCCTTAGCCAACATGTTTGGGCTAGTACCCTTGCATACTGAGCAACTCAGTGTGAACAAGTAAGTTATTGAAACCAATTTGATTAATACAATTGAGTTTGACAGAATTTCGTGCTGAATTACAGCCAATTTTTGATAACTTTACTCAAACTGTTTCTCAGACTACTCCAACAGCTTTCCTGCTGAAATTGGTAGGGTTGCTAACAGTGAATAACATTCAGGGTAAGGGGTTCACACTCTCTACATTACAGAGAGGGGAATAGAGAGTGAGCATACAAGGAATTACATTCTTTAATAGTGTTATTTAACTAAGTTGAGCAAATTCACTCTCAAAAACTAAGAAACTGTTAGAACATTAAATTGTATACAGAAAAGTAAAATTTCTTTATTTTAAAGTCTTATGTGAAATGTCTATTGATATGTATGATGCTGTGGTTGACAGTAAAGACTCCATCGATTACCACAAGGCCTAACTTTCACCCATAAACAACTTAATCTACCTTGAAATTATGAACTCAGCTGACCTTGCCAAAATTTCATTACGGAGTTCAAGGAAAGCAGGTATTTTGAGAATGTAGGAGGCAGCAACTTTTGCTAGCAATCTGAGCAGAAACATTATTTGGATTTTTAAAGAATATTTGCTATAAATAATGGGGTTTTATTTGTCAGGATTATCCTTATGATTTATTTATTTTTGTTATTGTGTTGTTAATTATTTAATGTTTAAGGCTTTAAAAACCTACAGCAAGTAGAAAATAACTGATCATCATAGTAAACACCATTAGAGTTCTGGAATCCACTTTTTTTCCTATAGGACTGCATTTGTTCTACCAGCATGCACATATAGTTGATTTTTATGGCAGAATCCAATTTGGGCATTTGTTATTGACACACACACAATCATTTTAAGTGCAGTTAAGTACACCATCTGCCTTTTCTTTCTGCCTGTGTCTGTGTAGTCATACACAGTGATCTGCTATTCCAGGAGTGTCTGGTGCCTGTTATAGCTGCACCAGTTGCACTACAAGCAGCTGAGTAGGCATTTCCCTTATGAACCCTGATTTTCAATGTTTAAAAACTAATTTGAAATTGCATAAAGCTCAAACATGGCATGCACATTTGTAAACCAGATGTGTTTCTGTTCACTCTACTTTTAAATGCCAAAAATGGCAGGGTTTAAAGAATCCATCCAAATAATATAACATTTCCAGTCAGCAAAGCAGATCTGCTCTCAGTTTGGGGATGCAGTTGAAAGATGTTTGGAAAGGGTCTTACTTGGCCTTTTGGTCATTATTTGCATCTCTATTCCCTTAGCTAACTGCTACCAGTACACAGCATGAACTGCAAGCCACATTTAATGAAGGGGCTTGGGCAGGTCTATGACAAACCACTGGCATTTGGCAGGGAGGGAAATTGTTCTGATTTACCCAGCAGCTAGACAGGCTTGATTCTATTAATCCCAGGGTAGAACTTAAAACAGTCTTTATGTTTCTCTCTGAATCTGAGAAACCTAAGGAGAGAGATAGAGAAGCCCTCCAGAGAAAAATTCTGTGAAAGAATTCAAATTCATAAAAAGATGTAAAAAGGAAGCAAGAATAAGAGGGGGGAATGAATTAAAAACATTTTCATTTAAACACAGGTTGCCAGTTTTTCTGACCATCTGAGCTTTATGTTGGGAACATCCACTGCAACATCTCTAAATTAGGGCTCTAAACCTACCAAAGGTCTACTGAAGAATTATCAGTCATCTCCTGACTTCATCTGCAAGTTCCCAAGGCATTTCTCTTCCCAGGTGCCCTTGTAATTGCTTGTCCTGGGGCAATGAATGCTTATCTCTTATCAAATACTCCACTGCAATCCAAGGCTCCAGTTACACCCCACCTCTCCTTAGTAAGTCCAATTTGCAAACCAGTGCACTGGTTAAGGCACTCAGCACTCAGCCAGGTTCCTGTGCACAGCACCTGTGGGCAGGGCAGCCCACACCACCTTTGGTAAGTGTGATACAGAGTTTCAGCCAAACCCTGAAGTTCTAAAAGAATTTCAAGAGGCTTCTTTGCACATTCCCCACTAATTAGAGAGAGGTGTGTTTGAACCATTCCATGCTGAGGAAGGTATTGATCCTGGGGGTCTTGCTTCCTCAGAGAGTGCTCTGATCTCTAACAGGAATTGAGGAAACCACCTCTCCCTGCCTGAATATTAAAGGGAAGAGAGACCTGGGTCAATTCTTTGAAGAAATAGTTACAGAAGACTTCTGCCAGGAGAGGATTCCAGATCTGTGATCCCCAGTGCAAGAAGGCACTTGCCCATTACTTGGAGTGAAGCAGTGTGTGCCAGAGGAGGGAAGCAATCACACTCACAGGTGTCACCTCCAACCTGCTTCAGCTTGACATGGTCAAGAACAAGAAATTTATATAAATGTGAGGGGAGGTTAAGCTCTACTCAGAAGTCAGGCATTATATAGGTGTCCTCTATAGATATTTTTATTACTGAAAACAGTCAGTTTTTCAGTTTCATGCTATTTTCCCCTTCACCTTCTGCTGTTCCCTGCCTCCAGTGTGATGCTGCTGCATCTTCATTCAAGGGCTGCAGATCCAGCTGTTGGCCTGGTTCCCTCCAAGACAAGTCGATTGGTGCTAGGTGATTTGTCGTGTGGTTTGTGGGTCACCAGTGTTTACACTGGTAAGCAATGTTGTAGGTCTCACATCTGAGGCAGTAGCTTAATGTAAGGTGAAAAGTGATCTAAGAACATTTTCCTGAAAACATATCTTCAGTGGGGGAGAATATTAGCATGTGATTAATCTTGAACACATTAGTAGTTCTAATGAAGTCAGTAGGGGTACTCATTGACATGAAATTAATACATAAAGTCTTCATAGGATGAGAGTATATAGATGAAGAAAATTGCTTTCTCGTCTCATTTCACAGGCATCCAGGATCAGTTCTTGCTCTTGTGATGCTTTCTTCTCACATCAGCTGTTCAGCCAACCTCTTACTTTCCAGCTGGTCTGCTTATACCTTTCTATAATCTCCTGTGCTCTCCCTCCACAAATGCCCAAGGTGCCAAATAGTCCTTTTAAATTTCTACATTGGTCACTTATTTCTTCTAAAAGATGTGGTCAGAGAGATTGTTAATAGTTCTTGACACTGACATAAAAACAGATGAAGAAAAAGCAGCAGCCTAGTTAATTCATGTTAACTGAGGTCAGAAGTAAGAAAGGGGCAGGTGAGTTCAGACTCCAGTGGGCCAGTCTCCAGTCTTTTTGCTTTATGAGTCTGGATCCTTTTGATGTTATTGATGGACTAATCTTTAACAATATAATCGGTATTGGCTCCTCAAGGACATCGCCGTTACTCACATGAGACTTAACTACTGTTCAATCGAGTGTGGGGTGCTTAGGGGGAGAGTGGGAGATGTACAGGAACATCTCCTCATTGTGTTACTCAGCACTGAGTACATACAGCAGAGGCTTAAGGAAAACAAAGAATGTGGAAATCAGGAGAAATTTAAAAAGTGAGAGCAAACAAAAGCAGCTGAGATGCAGGAACTCTGAAAAAGGCACAGTATCATAAAACATGGATGAAAAAATGACTTAATATTGTTTCCTGCCTTAAATCTTCCTCCACCATGGTGATTGCTATAAATCCCATCCTTGGAGCCTAACTGCATTGTCTATAAGGAACATCAATGTCTATTACCATGAATTCTGCTCCTTCATGCTGGAATTCTGACTGTTGCACAACTAAGCCTTGTACTTTGTCAAGTAGCCAGAGACTTTTCTAATACAAAGAAAAAACTCTGCTACAAATGACACAAGCATTGAAAAATTATCAGCATTGTTGGAAATGTTAGGACACTTCCTGCAATGAAAAATAAAATTGATATTGATATCCCAATCATATAAGAAAGCAGTTTCAGCCATTTTTGATTGATATTGCAGAGAGAATTTAATTCTGAGGTATATACATATAAGATTTATATAAATAAATAAACAAATAGATAAATAAATAAATAAGAATTCCATTGGCAAATTAATTACCAACTTAGAAAATTTAAAAAATTTTTTAAATTTTAAAAATATTTAGAAAAGCAGTGTGAAAATTTAGCAGCAGTGTGAAAACTATGTCTGGAAAAGGTACATGTGGGCTTTTAGTCACAATCTGGTAAGTCAAGATACATCCCAATTCCTATTCCAGCAACTGTTCCTTAGCTAATTTTCAGAAGTCTTCGCCATACACAAAATTGTGTTTTATAAGTTCATATTTCTGGGCTGCAGCAACATCTCTCCTTGAAAATTACATTACTTATTCATGTCTATCTTTTCACAATAAAAAGGAAAAAGTAGATGGCCATAACAATATAATTTAAAGAGAGGAATTATTTGTTCCTGTTATGGAAACACTGTTTTCTTTCGAATTGGTTTGAGCTAAAGGCAGCAACAAGATTACTTAGTAGGGTAAAGCCTACCTATGTTTATTTTCTTTTCAAAACCCTTTATTTTTCAATTCTATGAACAGTTTCAGACTATTTTAGACACATAAGTTAACAATATTAGCAAATAAAATATCATTATGATGTACTCACCTACAAATCTCTCTTTATCAGTTTCTGTAATGCCCCACATTCCAACCATTTCTTTGTAGGATTAGACTGCAAAATGGATATCATTCAAATATGTGAAGAGCATAAATGTTCTCAAGGAAAATATGGTTCTCACTGTGCAAAGACAGCAATGTTTATATACTCCTTACATTAACGTGAATCATTTGGGCCCATTAAGTTGTACCTCTACTTCACAATTAGTGGAACAATACAAAAAACTAGAACTGAAGAGGACTCAAGCTGATAATGAAAGAATCCCCAGAATGTTTGGAGAAGTAGCAAATAGAGCCAAATGTGCTGTTATTGTTCCATATATTTCATGTACAATGTTTCCTAAGACCTTGCCCACCTTGAGGAATGATAGAAATTGCTGAAGTGCATTGTATCACTGTCTCCAGATTTCAGCACTGTTCCCCTGAAAATGTTATTAGGTCTGAAAGTGCATAAGTGGACTAAAAAGGATGAAAACCGTGCTTTTAAAAATAAATAAGAAAGCTTTATCATTAGGGTGTGCAATAAATAAATAAGAACAAGATCCATTCGTCACACTTTCTACACCTGTATATAAGAAGACTCCAAACTTTATTTACCTGAAGTTGGACCTCATATCTAATTCTCCACCAAAAAGGTTGTTTTCATTTTCAATTTAGTTTCAATCAGGTGAGAACACACACATTTTCTGTGAACATCAACTTGGATTTCATCACGTTGGTTTCACACATGTGCACAGGTTTTCAGTTGAGCTCACACAGACACAGTAGCAGATAAGCTTAGCTTAAGAGATCAACAAAAGTATATTCATGTCGAGTATTACAGGATAGCTAAAGGAAGCAGCTCTCAGATTTGTTAATATAACACTATATATCAGAAATGGGATTCAAAGAGTGCTGTGTGTCCAGTCACTTCAGGAGCAGAACAGAATACTCTGCTCTCTGCACTCAGAAAAAGTTCATTTGTCAAATGAATTGCTTTTCCACAGTATACTTGAGGACTGAGACAGAGGAAATGAAATATTCACAGAAATGCAGACAACTCAAGTCTTTTTCTTTTGGATCCTGCAGTCCATTTTGAAAAGGAACAAGAAATGTAAACCATGCTATTGTGTGGTTCCTGTGTAAATTTGCTCTATGGGAATCCAAAATAGAGTAGATTTATGCTAACAACAGGCTGAGAGAGATTACTCGCAAACAACAAAGGCAGCCTGACCAGCAGTTTAGGCATTCTCTTGTTAAGAAAATTTTCCCATCTGTAGCTAAATCAATTAGTTATACCAGTGCAAACCCCTGATAGAGACATGCTGCACCAGCATGAATTGGGGCTTAAAGCCATTTAGGTTAATTCAATAAATCCTTGTCAGCATTGCTTTGAAGCAAAGGATGCCATATAAGCAAAAGTTTATTTGGGGTAAAGAGACTGACTGACATGTAGGTAGGTATCAAGCTGTCATTCTTCTGGCCACAAGCATGTGCAGCTGAGTGAATATATGTGGCAGGTTGGATTTGGATCTCATCTCAAGCCTATGTAATGAAGAATGACGCTTTTTCCCTTGCAGCCTTTTCTATTCAATAACTGGTCTTTAACTAATTTAAAAATGCTTTAATCATGAGATGCAACAAGACAATTACACATGCTGACCCTCAGCACCCTACGCCTCCTGGAATAACACCAGACTGTCATCTTCCTCTCCAGCTCTCTCCTCCCAGCCCTCCCCATTTCCACGTGCCATGGTGGCCCAGTCTACTGCTTTCTTTCTCATCTGCAGGAGCGAGCACAGTGTCTGAGGAAATTATCTGGCACTGCAATCCCCAGAAATGCTACGTGAGATAATAGCTTGCATATCCAGAGGTGCGCTCTGGGGAGGTCATCAGCACTGCTACAGGAAGAAAGAGCAGCTACAACCAGGCATGCTGCAGTCTCCCCCTCATTAGTGCTGACACTGGTCACTGGCTGGGGCTGGGAGAGAGGCAGCAGGGTGTCAGAATCAGATCAAGACATCTCATTTTCTCTAAGCTCTATTGTTCCTCCTTCCCAGCTGTAAAAGAGAGTTTGTTTAAATTGACTGCTTGTCCAGATTTCCTAAACACCTGATGTTCTGGGGAAAAAAATAATTCAGAAGTTAATGGATTATAGAAAATTATTGCATCAATATTTACACGTGTCACCTATAAACCATATCTTAAATATTTCATCTGGTTGTCACAAAGTCAGTTCTTGTTCCCTGGACTTCATAACACAATGTCTGCAGAAAAGTATATATATTTGAAAGCAAAAAACTGTTCTGAATTTTTAAAACACAAATGCTCTTGTTAGGTACTCATTACAGTCAGTCCTCTGCATGTTGCCTACATCAGATGCGTGCTACTGCCCAGGAACATAGGACTGAAAGCCTCCTAAGACACAGTTCATGTCCCTGCTATTACAGGCTTCATAGCAAACAATTTTTCATAGCAAATCAATCTCCAGTCTGACAATAACAGATATTTTTTCCCATCAGACAGATGGTTCTAGAATAGAGCTCCCCCACTTACTGACCTGGCACCTCTTCCACTTTGCATTAATCTTTCTCGAGCATGTTTTACCAGGGCTGTGCACACCACCCCCCATGACATGGCCTCCATATATGCACTGACATTTGCAATTACTTCACCTCAAACAGCTTCCAACTCTTTCCCTCACGTACTTTACAAAGTGTTCCTGTTGAGTGATCTGGCTGCATCACTACCAGACAGAAAGCAGTAATCTGTGGTGTGGAGACAGGAATGCGTGCCCTGTGAGATGTGGGAAAAGAGGGACAGAAAGAGGAACTACTGACAAAACACAGAAGGAATTTCATTTTCCTACTCACCAATAGCTAGAGAGTAGCCCCAAGTCTTTTCCTTCTCTTCAATTGTTTCCAAAATACAGGCTGACAGCCCTTGGCAGAAGTTGTTGTTGTGTTGTGACTGCATGACCTTGAACTTTTTGCTATTAAACTTCTTCCATTTCTTTTTACTTCAATCCTTAGTTATTCATCTCATTCACATGATATTTTGATCCTCCTCTACACAGGCAGTGTCACCCAGCATTGTGTCACCAGCATAATTTTTAGTTCACTGACACTTTTGATCCTCAATTTAGAAGTAAAAATACTAAACAAATACCTTGTTTTTTTTAGCCACATAACCTTCCAGAAGTAACCTCACTCCTGCCTGCAACTACCCTTCAACATTCAGTAGGGATCTGTGCTCTTCAGTGAATTTTTACCTTTTGTGTAAACTCGGTTCCTTCCCCTAGTTTGACTGATCATTAGTCAGTGAGAATTCAGAAAAAAAAAATTAGTTGGATAGCTGTTATATTGGTCTTAATAATACACAGTTTTTGAACAATTTTTAAAGTAAAAAAAAAATTGACGGTGAGGAAATAAATATATTTATAAAGGGATTAAATGCAAGTTCAGCCAAAGGAGATTGCTCCAAATTCATTTGACACTGCTCTTCAGTTGAATTTTTTTTTTTTCCAGGAAAAGAACCCCAAACAATCAACGTCATTGGCCTGGGCTTCGGTAAAAGGACATTTAAGCTAGTGAAGACAACTTAGCCTGTTGAGTTTAGGCAGGGAAAGGGCAGAGAGAGTTAGCATAACTTCATACCAGTTAAAAATAACTGTTGGAACTGAGAGTGACTGCTTGGTTGAGTGATGCCATTTACCACAGCTTTAAATTACTGTGGAATGGTTTAGGCATTAGTTAACTGTCTGCCATGAATCCCATAATGGATCTCTTAAGTCAGGGTTAAGGTATGGTTAACCATAGCCTGGTTAATTATTATACAAGCTGTTTTTCATGTCTGATTAGTTTTTTATCTTTCCATTATTGTAATAATGTGATAATTAACTTAATTAATTTACTTATTTTTTTTTAATTTATGTATTTTGTGATTTTAGGACTCGCTGGTTTTTCCTGGGAAAACTCTTTTGTTATAGAGCTGCGATCAATTGGCTGCTTCTGTAGAGCTTATATTCTCAAATTTTCAACCCAAAAATAATGTATACTTAAACTTTTTCACTGGAATAAAGTACAATGACAGAATAGTGCTTGATTGATTGGATTTAACAAGCAGCAATGAACAGTTAAGACAATAATGAATGTTAACTTAAAAGAGAGGACCATAACTCCTTGAAAATAATAATTTTTACTGAGACATAAGCATTAAAGAAGATTGTATGAGATTGTATGGAAATATTGATAAACACAAACCAAACAACGGCTGGTAAGAGGTAAGGCATTAAAGATGCTACGGATGCTGTATGGTATTTTGGTAATGTTTTGAACAGTCAAGCTTGTAGGGAACACCAGGACCTTCTGCCATGCTGATGTACCACACCCTGCTCTTTTAATCACTTTCTTAGGAAGCAGCAGAACATGACAACCCCACTGAGAAATATGAACACAGAAGTCACAGACCAGCAGAAATCACAAACTACCACAAATCTGTGCTTTGCTGCATGAACCCATGCACAAACTCTGAGTTTGTTGCTTGGAGAAAGAAGGAACAAAACCTGGAGAAGAAGACTGTGTTGAATATATATCTTCATAAACTGAGATGTATTTCAGAACTGACATAAACAAAGACATAAAGTCAAAATATGAAAGTTTTCACGGTTTAAAGTTGTTTCCCTATTTGATGCAAACTGTAATTCTGGAAAATTGTCATCCAGAAAGTGAGGTACATTTCAAGACACCCATGGCCAAGAAAATAAGGTCATATAACAAGTGCAGAAAAGAGTCACTGACATCATGGGATAATTCTTTCTCATTGGTGTACCAAAGTGAGTGCTTTATTTATTTATTTGTGCTAAAGCAAAAACATACAGTAAAAAATCACATAGCATTTTGAATTAAAAGTGTAAATTGAACTTCCACCATATGTATATAGAAATGGCTGCACCAATCCATCAAAAAAGAAGTAAAATTTTTGAAAGCATCTCTTATTCCATTAAAAGCAATTTTACCTGTTAGTAGGCATCATATTTACTATCATGGGAAAGCAGAAAGAGCAAGTCTATCAACAGCAGCTGATACTCTTATTCATCTGGGGATTTTTAGTGCAAAATTCAGATAAAAAATATGAATAAATACAAATTTCACCTGATATCCATTTATCCAGAGATAAAATTTCATGGACAAGCCTGTTCCTCTTCTGCCCACTTAAAAAAGTTCCAACAGTGAATCTTTAGTCTGGCAGATCTAATGTCCTCCTTCAGCTCATGGATTTGAGCAGCCATTTGAGTGTTTTACAACAAGCTGCCTATAAGTGTTCCTAGCATGTGATGCTAAGCTATGTGGGCCCAGGAGCAGCACCAGCTGTATCATCCAGCTTGCATGGCATGGTGATAATCCAACAGCCCCAGTGCTCCCCTGGGAAGCAATACCAACAAGCCCACAAGCAGGCTATGAGCTTTAACTATGATGTTGAGTAAGAAAATATTTCAAATAATTGTCACAGAAAATCACTGAGCCTCAATTCTGGTGAAGCATGTAGGGTAAATTGCAGGAGCTTTTGCTATATTGCAAATTTTGCTATATTGCTATATTGCTTTTGCTATATTGCAAATTACACAGGGTACAGCTGGTTGGAATAGTTTTAGGCAGACTCTCAATGTATGACCAGCAGAAAGGGGAGATCCTCCCTAGACACACACAATCCCCTTCTGTCATGATGCTCCTGGCTGTGTGTGGCCACCATTTACCACCAGAGCTTGTCTGAACAGACTCAGCTCACTGGCTCAAGAAAAAGACAAAGTAATGGAGTTATCTGCCTTACCTGTTAGTGGGTAAATCCACCCACAGGAAAGACCAAAACCCACCTGACCCAGTGGAAAGGAGAGGTCAGGATGAATGCAGCTGGGAACAGAAGAGTGACAAGGAGACAAAAGAGAGAACAAGTGAGAGCTCTTGTAGCCCTGCATGGTTAGGCTCACATCTGTTGGCATCACTGTAAGATAAAACTGTAATAATTATTGACCTCAGACTACTAATACCAGTATTGAAAGAAATGCCCAGTTATATGAAAGTCTATTATGATATCAGGTGGAATTCAAGCAACCTTTTGGTGATTGTTTGAACTTTCAAGACTATTTTAAGAGAGTCTGTGAGGTCTGTAAATGTCAGAAGCTCTGGACTTCAAAACTCGGCAGATCTGAAAGCTGGACATCTGCAGTACAGTTTGTTGCTTTATACTACCAAGGGAGAAGCAAGTTCTATTTTTAGTTCACCTTGTGCAAGAAGTGAAGTCATTACAAAGATGAAAGAATTGGTCTGTACTAAAAATAGTATGCAAATGAGGCAATGCTTCCTACAAGCTTATCTTTTCCTTTCACACTCGTAGCTGTGGTCAGTAGCAAACAGTTTTCCTGAAAATAGCCATGGCATAGACACAAGTATTGTTAGTGTTCTCTGCACTCATGAGGAGGAAAAAGGGAAAAAAACCAAAATGACAAAGCAGTGTGCAATGGAAAATACAAATTACATACACATTTATTTAAATGAAGGATAAAATACATCTGCAACTTCAAATAGTCTCTTACTTTGTAGACCAAGGTCAAAATAAACATTCTGAAGAAAAATCATTCGTTCTGCCATGAGAAGGACTTCCCTGGTTTACAGCATATTGTATAAAAACACAAGTTAAATACTTACATGGTCTCTTATGCTCTTTCTTGTCCCTTTCTACCTGAGGAGGAATTACCAGTAATATGGAATTTTCAACCTCGGTGCTTTTTAACTTATTGATTGTCCATCTCTTAAAAGAGATTGAGAAAAAAAGCATATTTTTAGAGAAAATTAGTGTCAGGATGGAGAATAATTGTATTTCACTTCATCTTGATTATACAAATTAGAATGGTCTTGTTACAAACATCTACTAATAAAATAGTGTTTGGCATAGAAATATTGACACACGGTTGACTATAGTTCTGCTGGCAGTGCCATTATAATAAAAGACTAGGATACAATGCAAAAATGGAAAATTCAGCATAGGCAATTTCTGTTGTGTTGGTTGGCTGCTGAATAGCTGCTTTAAAGATTGACAGAAGAAGATGGGGCTTTTAAATGGGACAAAGACTTAATTCAATAGAGAAGCAATACAATACAAAACAAAAAAATGGAATTCTGTCAATTTACATGCAAGCTAGTAAGTGGATGAAATATTAATCTTTTTTCCTTAAATTTACAGCTTTACAGAGAAATTTTGGGTCTGCAATGTTTTTTCAAGTTGCTATCACTTTCTACTTTTTCTTTGAGATTCAGAATTGTGCACACTTCATTTAGAGACCAAACAAACTGCCTGAAATGGTGAGCTCTTATGTGCCCAAGCTTTATCAATCCCCCTCCATTATTCTTTCTGAACTCAGCTGAGTCAAGAAATGAGTCATGGTTGTGTCATATGGCTCAGCTACTTCTGAGGACATCTCAGTTCCAGAAAGAAATGCAAACTGCCCTTGACATTCACAAGCCAAAGAGAATGCTGAAATATGGACAAACTCTTCATGCCACCAGTGTTTCACTGAGAACACTTCCTTGGGAAATCAGTATATACCTACACTGTGGAACTTCAGTTTTCTCCATAGTTATCTATTTGTTTTGGGACTTCCTTTTAAATTTGTGATCTGGCTTCTTTAATTATTTCTTCCAAAACTTTGGCCATTCCTCTTCTCTGTATTCTGACTTTAGTTATTTAGCAGATTCTGTGCACTAATGAAATAATTGAATTTTGTCTGATATCAACAGTGAAGGAGTCAGGCCTTCAGTGAAGTGAACCACTCTAAATTCACTTGCTTGAGTTGTCACCAGTGCTGATACACGTGATGCTGTGTTAGATTAGAAGGAGAGATTGAAATAAGTAAGGGGAAAGAAATATACAGAAAATTATGTATTTCTAGGACTAGGAAGCAGGCAATTCTCATTTTCAATGAGAACATCAGGAAAGAAATGGGTGTTGTCACTGCAATAAATGTAGCACATAGCCCCTCACAAGGTTTCAGGTCTTTGTGAGACAGATCTGCATGATCAAATAGAGTACCTCAGTGATTTTCCAGGTAT